GCCACAGCCAGGAAAAGTTCTCCTCACCAGGAAAGGGAAGCAGGGTGAGCGACCAGCTTCCCAAGCCTTTCAAGGTACTGCAGGGAGGACTTACCTCCATATCAACCCACGAGATGCCGGAAAAGCTGGGATGTATGGAGACTAAGAACAAGGAAGAAGATTAGGAGCTGCTGGGTTATCAGCCACACAGCAGCGGGGCGAGTGCGGTTTGCAGTGGCCTTCTGCCGTCTTGCCAGTATCTTTTACCGCTGCAGAAACCAGTGACCAGAACAGCATCTATCTCGTCTTTTTGATAAAAGACTCTCAGTAGTGGGAGTGTTGAATCTTACAGTATTTCTGTTAATTTCTTGAGGAATCTCTGTACTGTTTTCCCACCAGCTGTACACAAAGGTGCTAAGATAGTGGGTCTCAAATGTTCTCACAACAACCCCCCAAATGGTAATTATCTGAGCTGATGGATGTGTGAACTAACCCTATTGTGGTAACCATTTCACAATGTATATGTATGTCAAATTATCACATTGTCCACTTTCAACTTATACAATATTTTATGTTGATTGTATCTCAATAAATCTGGGGGGAAAATGTAGTTAGTACACTTTTAAATCCACCTCCAACAATCACAACTGCCAAGATTATGAAAATAGGTTGAAATTTTTAGTTTTGGTGGAGTTTTGGCCTTTCTGTCTTCATTGGCAATTCAGCAGAAAGTTAAAAGAGACTATATAAGGATCTGTTAGCCTGATGCAATTTTAAATTAAAAGCTGCTGTAATCCTTTTTTAAAGAAGCTATTAACCTTCACTCATTATCTCTTAATTGTATTTTCTGCCCATTCTTAAAACTTGGAGGTGTTTAGTTTGGATTACAAGCTTTCCTGGCTTTACTAATGAATGCCCCTTGTAAATTATCTAAAATGTTCTTAATGCTTAGGTAGATCCATTTTTTTTTTTCTCCTAGGAAAATTCAAAGTATTAAAGTATGTTCTGCTATTCCCCTAACAGGATTTGCTCAGCCATTCCTCTTCTCAACATCCTGGGCAAGCTCAAATATCCCTTCTCTCCCTACGGTGGACAACTCTCATTTCTAGCCCTTTCTTCACTTTGCACTATTTTCCCTGGCCCTAAGTGATTCTGCTCAAGTTGAATTATTCTCAAGGCAACAGGAGAAAGCTGCTGAAAGGCAACCGCCGTCGCTCTCTGGATCCTCTAATCTCATCATTTCTTCATGGCCTTCTGCACACCAGGGGTCACAGAATAGCCTTCCACACCTGCGGGTGATTCTTTTGCAACTCTTCCCCAGAGTCCTCAACACCAAGGTTGGGCCATTTCTTGGCTTCCTGCTGCTGAAAGCCAAACAAAGGGAAGTGAGAGAACATCATTTATAAAAGCCTCCTTAGAGCGTGTCAGGATGGGAGTGAGTGTCTACAACACATTTATCTCTGGAGGAAAACAATCTCTCAAAGCACATACCTTCACCTCCAACATGATTGTGTATAGGTAAACATGGTTTCACCATCACCTTTAGCCACCACAGCTCCAGGCTGACTTGCATTTCCCATTCTTCAGTTGTGAGCATTGATTTCTGCTCCGTGGCCAGCACTGCTTTACCAGGCGGGAAGGGAGGGCTGGGCTCAGTCATCTGAATCAATGGAGAAGGAGCAGTGGGAAATGAGGGCCTGGAATTGCTGTCTGACTATGGCCCTTCAGCCACACCACGTTCCTGAGAGATCTCCACCTCATTTCCTATCATTCCTGTGCCGACTCCCCACTCGCCTGCTATCACAGAGAATACGGAGATGGCACAGACTATAGAATCATGTTAATCTGTATGACCAGTGATTATCTTCCACTTTTAATCAAAACAGTAACAGTGATCTTGAAAAGTACTTGCAGTCACCACAAACAGAACAGGTTTAAAGTAATTTCAGATGTGTTATTTGAATTCCTATAGGATACTACTCCCAGTTAATACACTAGAATGTCATCATCATCTCAAGTTTCTTGTTGTTTTTTTCTTTTTAATCCTTACCCGAGGATATTTTTCTTTATATCTTCAAATAGAGCAGGAGGCAGGGAGAGAGAAAGAAACATCGATGTGAGAGAGATACATTGATTGGTTGCCACCCACAAGAAACCAACCAGGGCCTGGACGAACTGCAACCAAGATACATGCCCTTGGCTGGAATCAAGCCTGGGACTCTTGGGTCCGCTGGTTGATGCTCTAACCGCTAGCCAAACCGACCAGGGTATCACCTCAAGTTTGAAAAGTGCCCCACATATTAAGTGGATCTTCAGTTGCAACTCTAATCCAATTATTTTGTCATTGGTGTTGCTCATGGAGCCACATCCTTGGTGAATTTCTCTAGAACTCGGGAGTGATTTTTTTTCTCCTCACTATACATCTTCCCTCACTGGTGACAATAAGAAAGAAAGCAATTTTGGAAGAGCTAAATCAAGGAATGTATATGCATATATGCATAACCAATGGACACATACAGTAGTGTGGGAAAAGCAGGAGGAGGGTGGGAGCAAGGAGGAGGGGTCAATGGGGGAAAAAACGGAGGACATCTGTAATACTCTCAGCAATAAAGATAAAAATAACAATAAGAAGAAGAAGAAGGAAGGAAGGAAGGAAGGAAGGAAGGAAGGAAGGAAGGAAGGAAGGAAGGAAGGAAGGAAGGAAGGAAGGAAGAAAGAAAGAAAGAAAGAAAGAAAGAAAGAAAGAAAGAAAGAAAGAAAGAAAGAAGGAAAGAAAGAAAGAAAGAAAGAAGGCAAAGTGGTCCAGGTTATTTTTCAAAATAAAAACCACTTTTTCAAAATTGTGATGGGTGACATAATGGCACAAACACATTTTTAATTTTAAAATCTCACCCCATATTCCCATTAGGAAAAAAAAAGGAACAAAAATTTTTTTAAAGAAATTTACATGTATATTGTCACAAACACAATAATCAGCCTTACCTTATACAGAAAACTCTAAAAATATCTGTCAGTGTATACATAATTATAAACTCAACAAAAACAAAAGGATGCAATAAACAAATAAAGAAAAATTTAAAATTTTTGTTCGCTTTGTTTTTTTTTTCTTTTGATAATGTTTATTTATTTATTTTTGTTGCAGATGTTTCTTCTTTTTTCCCCCATTGATACCCTCCTCCCAATCCTGCCCCACCCCCAGCATTATTGTTGTCTATGTCCTTGTTTACACATACATGCGTATAAGTCCCGTGGTTTATCTCAATTCTACCACTTATCTTTATATTGTACATTGCTAGTTTTAAATGTAAACACAAGAACATTAAACTTGTACACACAATCACTGGAATTACATGATTTGTATTTTGTAACTCATTCATGCATAGCATTTCGGTCTGACCGCAACAGTGGAGACAGGGAACGAAACTCACTCAGCTGGTTTCAGGTCACGTCTTGATATACACAGATTCTACCAACTTGTTCTATCTTCAGCTTACTGATGAATAATGAAGAACTAAAAAGAAAAAAATAACTATAAGTTGTCCGATCTTTTCTTTTTCTTCCTAAGTAATCATTTTCAGCATAAATGGTTGGCTGGTGTGAGGAAGTAACACAAGTAAGAAAGCACATGCAATTTCTAGGTTGTTCCTGTTTCTGAGAATGTCATTACCTTTGTGCTACATGTGGAGCAAGTTCTAGTTCAAATAGAAAGTGTGGTCTCTCGAGCTCTCGAGCCTGTACATGGACCCACATATTCAGTCTTACTTTGTACTCACTTTAAGTCTCTCTGAACTCCCATGCACTGAGGGTCCACTGGAATTCTACACTCATGGTGCATTGTGTAGTTTATACATGCATGGGGAGGCAAAGGAACGGCAGACACCCACATTGCACATATCACACGTGGGCCATTGTCCCATTGGGTTTCACTTACCAAACACAAATTCAAAGATTAAATTAGCAGTAATTTCACGATGCTTACAGCAAAACATTAAACCAAGCATGGGCCCCTCTGAGCCACAAACCTGTGGACTTGATTAATGGGTTCATGTTCTACACAATATGAGCTCTGGACTCCTAGGTGAAATTCTCTGAACCATCCCATTACCAACTGACAGCACCAGGCTGATTTTCTACTTTTCTATAAAAACAGATTTTCAACTTATCTCCATATATTTACTTTCAGGTGAAAATGTCATCATCCACTCACATTGGACTTCTAGCAGACTGCCACAAACAGGCACTGAGAAGTGTTTGGGTTATGCCCATAGTATTCTTACTTCCAAAATTCTCTCTGCTTTCAACAGCCAGACTTGCTAAGCAGAACATTCCACAGCAGAGTTCAGTGAGGAGTGGATGCCACACGGATCCCATGCTGGGTTTCTGCCTCCCTAGACCCTGCTGAACTCTCATATTAAGCAAGCCCCATGTCATTAAGCACAGTTATGAAAGAAATCTGGAGATGCAAACTTGTCAATCACCAACGTCATGCTAGCTCAGCTGATACTAGAACTACTACTACTGCCTAAAAAAAAAGAAGAGTATTGTTAGCATTTTGGAAAAGGCAGCAGTGACCTTTCTTTCTGAGAGCCAAAGACCCAAAGTGTCTGACAGCTTTGCTATTGGATTTTTTTCCTCCTCTCTTTCCACACCTGGGATTCAAAGCCATTAAAGCACTTGTAAGCCAAAGGAGCTATCGTCATCTCCATGGAGCTTTTCACATCGCGTTCTACCACTTAGCAATTAATTAGATTATGACTGATTAGTATTTACTTTTCCTGTCACTTCATTCTACCAATAGAAGCTTACACCATCCTCCCAAAGAGTGTTTCTGTTTATTCATATTCTCCTCTTCACTTTTAGTGAATGTTAGATTTCAACAAAACATGATAAATAAGATGTTAACACCAGTTTAATGTCATTGAAAAGGAAGAAAGGCAAAATAACTAAGAGTATTTTTTGCTGCCTGCACAAACTACCTAAGTATGGGTGGCTGTCTTTTTGTGAGTTTTATTGAGGCATAATTTGTATACAGGAAAACTCACCGATTTGAGGAAGGATACAGAGAAGATTAGCATGGCTCCAGCACAAGAATGACACGCAAAACTCACCAATTTGAAATACACATTTCAATTCGTTTTGGCATATGTGCACCACCACACTAGCATGATACAGAACACTTTTCATTCTGCCAACACTTGACCCCTTTGTCGTAAATAGATCTGATTTCTACCACCCTAGTTTTGCCCTTTAAAGGAGTTCAAATAAATGGATTCATACAGCATGTATTCCTTTATGACTGACTTCTATCACTTGACAAAATGTTATTGAGGTTCATCCATGTTGTATGTATTTTATTTATTTTTATTAGTGAATATCATCAATTCTATGGTTACACAATTTGCTTCTCCATCTGCCTTTTGGTGAAATTTTGATTTAGTCCCAGTTTGAAACTATTATGAATAAAGCTTCTATGAAATTTTTTTTTACCAGTTTTTTGGAAGGGTGTATGTTTTTCTTTCTTTTGGGTAAAAATTTAGAAGTAGAATTGCTGGGTAAGTGTATATTTAACTGTACACTGCTACATGATTTTCCAAAGCAGCTGCATAATTTTCATTCCCACCAGCAGTGTATGAGATTGTTACATCTCACAACCAAAACTTGCTATTTTGAGAGCCATTCTTGTAGGTATAGAAAAGTATCTCATTGTGATTTTTATCTGCATTTTCTTAATGATTTGTAATGCTGAACATCCTTTTATATGCTTATTGGCCATCTATGAATGCACCAATTTTTGCCCCATATTCTAAATAAGTTGTCCTTTTATTATGAAGTTATGAGTTCTTAATTCTGAAAATAAGCATTTATTAGATACATGTTTTCCAAACATTTTCTCACAGCCAGTGTCCTGACATTTTATTCTTATAAGAGTTTTTGGAAGATCAAAAGTTTATAATTTTAATGACATTTAACCTATTTTTTTTATAGTTCATACTTTTTATGGTCAATTTGAGAAATCTTTGCCTAACACAAGGTCACATATATTTACTCATATTTTTAATAAAAAGTTTAATATTTTTAGCTCTTACATTTAGGTGCTTAATCAATTTTAAGTTAATTTTATTTATACATAATTGTACATAGTTTGAAGTAGGATCCATATTCTTTATTTTTTTGTTGTTGTTGTTTTCACATATGGCTATCCAATTATTTCAGTACCATCAAGGATTTGTATTTGTTTTATTTTCCTCCAGCATCCTGATATGTTAGAAAATGTAAAAATTGTTATTCATATATTTTTCCTGTTTTCTAGTTATTTAAGTTAGAATGGTAAATACTGTTCCTGGTATGTATTCTTTCAGGCCAGAAGCAAAAGTCTCCATGTGTCTGTTATTAAGATAGGGACAATTGTACAGCAACTGTTGACCATACCTATTGGGAAAATCATGTCTTGAGATTTGAAAATGGTGGCAGAGTGAATGGAAGCTACACAGACCATCTTCCAGGACCAGATTAGAATTGCAACTACAATAAAGGCAAATTGGCAGGAAAAAGCAACAGAAAAGCAGTTAGAGAGGACCCATATAAACAGGGACAGAAAAAGGACACTAAATAAAGCCTGGTAGGAACTTCGGAGGGTGGGCTGGGAGCCCACAGACAGCAGCTGTTTTATTTGTGAGAAGCTCCCCCGGGATCAACATCCCAAGCCAGCTCCACAGCACAGAGGGTGGGGACAGAGCACTAAATTAGCTACAGCCACTCACCTTGGGGTCCAGTAGAGGGAGGGTGGACTTGAATGGAACTTTGTGGAGACTCAAGAGCTTGGAGAGCTGGGAGGGCAATGGGAGATTTTTGCTGAATCACTCTCTCACAGGACAGTAGCCATATTACTCAAAGAGCCCCTTCCCAGAATTCTGTGAGAAGCAATAGCCCCTCCCTCAAAAATTTAACACCACCCAGCCAGGCCAGAGAATGCAAATTTAGGATCATTAACAGCCAGCAAGCATTTGCTCCACCCTCTGGGAATCCTCTTACCCTGAACACCTAAGAGATATTTTTATTCAGTTGAAGGCTACAAGGCTCATCAAGTAACAGACTAATATCTTCCAGGCAAAAAGCTAGAGAATAACTGAACCTTTCCTGGGCCTGCAAATCTACCCAGGAAAGTAAATCTTGACAGTGGTGTTTAACATGGGTCTTCTCATACTCATCCAAACCCAGTAGAGGAAGCCACAATCAGCTGAATACTGACACCCACAGGGAAAACTTGACAGGCTCCAAAACCCACTGAGATAGCCAAAATTATGAAATAAAGAAACAAATCTCAAATAAAAGAACAGGAGAACTCTAACAAAGAAGAGATAAATAAATGCAGTTAATCAAGTTATCAGAGGTAGAGTTCAGAGTGGTGACAATGAGGAAGCTCAACAGTAAGGACATCAGCACCATGAGTAAAGATATAGAAACATTGAAAACCAACCAATTGGAAATGAAGAATGACAAAGCAGAAATAGAGAACACATTGAAAGAAATAACCAACAGACTAAAGAAGCTGAGGACCAGATCAGCGATTTAGAAGACCGGGTAGAAAACATCATCCAATTAGAGAACCAAAAAGAAAAAAAAAATTGTTTAGAAAAAGGAAGACAGCTTAAGAGAGCTGTGGGACAACTGAAAATGTACAATGTGCACATCATAGGAGTTCCAGAAGAAGAAAAAAAATAAGCAAGGGTTAGAGAATATATTTGAAGAAACAATGACAGAAAACTTTCCTAACTTGGTGAAGAAAAAGGCATTCAACTTCAAGAAGCACAAAGAGCTCCGTGTAAGAACGCAAACAGGCCCACACCAAGACACATAATAAAATGCCAAAAATTAATGACAAAGAGAGAATCTTAAAGGCAACAAAAGATAAGCCACAGGTTACCTACAAAGGAACCCCCCATAAGGCTATCAGCTGACTTCTCTACAGAAACACTATAGACCAGAAGGGAATGGCATGGAGTAATCAAGGTAATGAAAAACAAGGATCTGAATCCAAGACTACTCTATCTAGCAAGGGTATCATTCCAAATAGAAGGTCAAATAGTTTCCCAGAAAAGCTAAGGGAATATGTTAGCACCAAACCAGCACTGCAAGATATTTTAATAAGACAGCTGTAATTAGTAGAATGAATAGAAAAAAATATATAACCACAATAAACAAAAATGTCAATAAATAAGTACATATCAATAATAACCTTAAATGTAAATGGATTGAATGATCTGATCAAAAGGCACAGAGCAGCTAATTAGCTAAGAAAGTAAGACTCATATATATGTTGTTTACAAGAGACCCACCTCACAACAAAAGACTCACATATGTTGAAAGTGAAGGGATGGAAAAAATCTTCCAAGCAAACGGGAAGAAAAAAAACTGTGGTAGCAATATTTATATCCGATAAAATAGACTTCAAAATGAAGGTCATAACTAGATACAAAGAACGTCATTATATAATACTGAAAGGATCTATCCAACAAGAAGATATAACCTTAGTAAACATATGCACCCAACATAGGAACACCCAAATATATTTTAAAACTTCTGAAGAATTTCAGAGAAGAAATTGACAGCAATACAATTACATTAGGGGACTTCAACACCCCACTGGCATCACTGGATAGATCTTCTAGACAAAAAATTAACAAGGATACAGAGACTCTAAATAATGCAATAGATCAAATGGATTTGATAGATATCTACAGAGAATTACACTCCACAACTGCAGAATTCACATTCTTCTCAAGTGCACATGGGACATTCTTAAAAACAGACCACGTGTTAGGACACAAACTAAGTCTCTACAAGTTCAAGAAGACTGTAATCACATCAAGCATCTTGTCAGATCACAATGGCATGAAACTAGAAATTAATTACAACAAAAACATACAAAACTGTTAGCTCTCAACTTCCTTATTACTGCCCTAAGCCCCTCATTCCAAGAAACCAAAACCCATCAATCCAGTCAGGCAGAACGGAATGATGGAACCACCCTAACCCACACAAAACTGAAAACGGTCGCTCGACAAGAAAAACAAGTTTCAGGAGACCCTAGCCCCCCACCAATCAAGAACTTGGGAGACCCCGGGCCTGACCAATCAAAGACGACCACAAGTCCTCAGCTGAAAGATGCCCCCACCCCACCCCACCCCCACGGCCCTAAGTTTAAAAATCCTTAGTCTGTACAAGCCACTCTCTACTCTCTCCTTAGAGGTAGTCTGGCAGGCTAATTCCCAATAAACTTGCACTTCCGGAGACCCTGCACTGCCTCATTCCACCTCGTTCTTATAAAAACATTCAAAGACATGGAGGCTAAATAGCATGTTATTAAACAACAAATGGATTACCAAGGAGATCAAGGAAGAAATTTAAAAACTTCCTGGAAGCCATAGAAAATGAACACACAACAACACAAAATCTTTGGGATGCAGCGAAAGCATTTCTGAGAGGGAAGTTCATAGCACTACAGGCCTACCTCAAAAAAAAACAAGAAAAATTTCTAATTGACTATCTAACCTCACAACTTAAAGAACTAGAAAACGTACAAAAAGTAAATCCCAGAGCAAGTAGAAAAAAAGAAACAGTAAAGATGAGAGCAGAAATAAATGACATAGACACAAAGAAAAGAGTTAAAAGGATCAATTAAACAAACAGCTGGTTCTTTGAAAATATAAACAAGATTGATGGACCCTTAGCTAGACTCACCAAGAAACGAAGAGAGAGGACCCAAATAAACAAAATCAGAAATGAAAGTGGAGAAGTAACAACTGACACCACAGAAATACAAAGGATTGTTAACAAATACTATGAACAATTATATGCCAACAAATTGGACAATCTAGGTGAAATGGACAAATTTCTAGAAACACATAGTCTCCCAAAACTGAACCAGGAAGAGATAGGAAACTTGAACAAACTAATAACAACTAAGAAAATTGACGATATAATCATGAATCTCCCAGCAAACAAAAGCCCAGGCCCAGATGGCTTCCCCGGGGAGTTTTACCAAACACTCAAAGAACTAATACCCATTCTCTTCAAACTATTCCAAAAAACTGAAGAAGAAGGAAGACTTCCAAACTCGTTTTGTG